CCAATTTTGATACATATATATATATATATATAAAATTCTTCTAAATCTAACACTCTCAGATCTGTGAAACAAAAACTCTTTTTGCCAAATTTTCGGTTTATTTAACCATCTTCAGGGCATATTCTAAAAAACATACAAAATAAGAAACTTGAATAATAAATGTAAATGATTTAAAAGAATTAAAAGATAAAAGTAACAATATATAAACAGAAACAAATAAACAGATTTCAAATGTGATGCCTTGCTTTAACTCGAGCATATATATATATGTATATATATATAAAATAAGCCTAGAACATTTTAAATTTGTAAATTAGGGTGGATATTAAATATAAGTATATATAATGTATATATTTTTATATAAATATATAAATATGTGAGAAAAGTTTTATTATTTAGATATATTATTGTGTATGTAGAGTTCATACAAATATAGAGTTCATGGTTTTCACACATAAAAAAACTATCAAATCTAAGAAGCGAGAAAATTACAGAGAAATGACTTGCAATACTTGACCAGGAAATAATAATAAAACTCCTATAAAAAGAAAAATGCGAATATGTGAAAACAAGCCTTTTACCGTATGCTACGCTACGGTTACATAACTTTTGAAAGTAAGTATTAACATGATTGCCTTTTGTAAAGAAATATGTTTTTAAAAAAAAGCTTAAATAGAAATACCACCTCCCTTCAGCCCCCCTTCTATATTCCCCTCCTTGTCCCTAAATCTTGCACTTCTACCTCCTTAAAGGGACTGTAAGCGTAATTTCATATGACCCTTTATGCAAAGATACAATAACGTGCCCTTTAAACAATAATGTGGAAGATAATGCTGTTTTTTTGGTGAAAGAGTTTTAATCTTGACAATTCCTATATTTTTCTGCAGTAGAAATGCGCAAGTTAAAGAAATAACTATAAACATTTATATTTAGGTCATAGTTGATCAGACAAAGCTTTATGAGAATGAATTGTGAATTGTGAATGAATTGACAGTAAAAACGGTAAATAATTTAACTAATGATTAAACTAATGATTAAACTACGCAAAATTAAATGTCGAAATAATGGTAAAAAACAAAACAATTACAATTTCTAATGAACGAATAAAAATGGATTAAGGAATAAAAGCGGAATATTTTTTTGAGAAATAGATAAATCCGACAAAATATGAATGAGTAAAATTATGAAATGATGAATAGATAAATAAATATAAAGATGAATAAATTAATAAGTTAATAAATTAATAAATTAATAAATTAATAAATTAATAAATTAATAAATTAATAAATTAATAAATTAATAAATTAATAAATTAATAAATTAATAAATGAATAAATTAATAAATTAATAAAT